GATTACCAAAGCATTTTTCCATACCTTGTTTCATTCTGCCCTCAGACAATTTGCATAAAATTGGGTTATACATCACTTTTTTTTTTTTTAGGCAATTGGGGTTAAGTGACTTGCCCAGGGTCACACAGCTAGTAAGTGTCAAGTGTTTGGTCTGTGGCCGCATTTGAACTCAGGTCCTCCTGACTTCAGGGCCAGCGCTCTATCCACTGCACCACCTAGCTGCCCCTACACACCACTCTTTTTGAGAGGGGCAGTTTCATTGCCTCTAAGGTCCAGATGGTCCCCTCCTCTGTGGCTTCAGGGGTTTCTTTGAGCTGAGAAGTTATGAGTTCAATGGTAGTCACCCCAAGCTCACAGTTAGGAGAATTCCTAACACTAAGGTAGAGGTCAGGCTCTCTGCCTACATTTACATTTCTGTTTCTTTCTTCTAAGACCTCTGTCCTCTTTGTGGTTGAGGCAAAATTCAGGTCACTGGAAATGTTTAAGGAAACAACAGATTTACATTGTAGTATCTTTGACTGGACGGGCACCCAGAGGGGAAGGCGGGGAAGGAGCAGGCCCTGGATAGGTGGGGGTGCTGGGGGGAGCAGACCCAGGCTCCTGTTTCTGCTTCTATGTTCAGCTCAATCCTAACTTTGCCTTTTCTTTCTCCGACTGCTTCTTGGCTTGGCTCTGTAAGACTCAGCTTCTTCCTCTAGGCTTGCGGGCCCTCAGAAATCACTGTCTTGTTCTGAGACAGTGTCTTTTTTGTACAAATTACTCGGGCTAGGGCTACGTCTCCCAAGTGAGTGACTCAAGGAGGTAGAAAGTCCACTTTACACTCAGTTCTGGTGGAATGATTTAATCGATAAGCTTCTTACCTGACAAGGGAAGTCCTGAAGTCTTTCCAGATTCTTAGAATTCATACGTTCATAGAGTTAGCACTGGGAGGAACCTTAGTGGGCGCTCAGTTCAACCCTCTCCTTTCACAGATGAGTAAACTGAGGCCAGAGGGCTCAGACCAAGTCTGCCAATAACTATTAAGGAGTGACAGAGAAGAAGGGTTAGAATGGGATCACTTATGCACGTAGAGGGCACATTGGTATAGGGAAGGGCACCTTGTCATGTGAGACGGGAGTGAAGGAAGAGAGAGTGGGGTAGGGAGGCATCTAGTTGGTGTCAGTTGAGGAGGAGGGGAGAAGAGGCAGAGGTCAGCAAATGCCCTCATTTTTTTCAGTGAAATATAAAGCAAGGCTCTCAGTGGAATGATGAGGGGAAGGGGAAATTAGGGTAGTTTCAGGAGCGATGAAAAGCTTTGGAAGACTCACTGTGGTGAGCTGGATAGTGAGTCAATGAGGGAGGTGGCCAAGGATTGCCTTGCAGCAGTGAGGGCCTAATTGAGACTATATCCCATAAAACGGTAGTGGATCCAGCCAGCACAGCTTCATGACTTTCTTCAGCTTAGCTCAGAAGCGTCTAAGTGGAAGCAAAGGCAGTGAATGGTGGGAGAGATCCAGGGCGGAGGCCTGGCAGAACAAAACCGGCGATAGCATAAAGGGACAGGGCCTTCAGGAGAAGAGTGTAGAGTTGAGCTGGTCCATTAAAGGGTCAGGATGGCCAAGGGAGGGGGAGTACAGCCAGTGTGGGAAGGACCTGAGGAGTAGAGGCCTTGGAGGTCCCACTGACGATGGGGTTGCAAGGCAGAGGGAGAGGTGGCATTACAATTGAGATCAGAGTTCATGAACACAGAAGTGGAGTGTTTGTGGGTGACAGCACAGTCAAGGCGATGACCATCTCATGTGTGGCTGAGATAGGGTAGAGGAGGGGGTCATGAGAAATGAGTAAGTTGAGGAACTGGGAGTTTAGGGTGTTTGAGGGAGTCTCAATATGTTTGCCCCCTAGTATGAGTGCAGGAATTGGGGAAAAAGCAAGACTGTGGGCTAGGCACTGAACTCATTGAGGGGAGAAGGGGAGCATCCCAGAAGCTGGCAGACAACAGCTACCAGAATATTGGGTGGTAGATGCGGTTTGAGTGAACCCCAAAGCAGAAGAGTTACTGAGCAATGAGGCAGGAGAGCCTCGAAGAAGCAACGGGGAACAAGGAGGACTCCCAATGGTCTCCCTGCCTCAAGTCTCTCCCTACTCCAATCCAATCTTCTTAAGGCCAAGTCTGACCAAGTCACCCTCATTCATCCTCAAGAAGTACTAGTAGCTCCCTATTACCTCTGGGATCAAATATAATAAACAAACAAATAAGAAAATAAATAAATAGATCTTCTTTCTGCCTTTCAGAGACCTGCACAAGATGGTCCCTCACGCCTTCCCAGTCTTCTTACACCTTATTCCCCTTCGCATGATGCACTGTGATCAGGACTGGTTTCTTTGCTGTGCATTGACCATAACTTTCCATTTCCTAAGCCCAGGCCTTTTCATGGGCTGCCTCCCATGCCTAGAATTCTCTCTCTCCTCATGTCTGCTTCCTGCCCACCAGGCTTCCCTCCGACCTTAGCTAAAAGTGACCTTCTGCAAGAATCCTCCTTCATTTTAGAGCCTTCTCTCTAAGACTACCCCCGGTTTATCTTGTCTGTATCTTATTTGTACATGGTTGTTTGCACGCTGTCTCTCCCG